TTTTAAAGGTCCATGGAAGAAGAAGAATCTTGCCGAGTTTGGCATAGTCACGCAGTGTATGGCTCCAACTAGGGTCAATGATCAGTACCTTACGAATCTGCTTCTAAAAATCAATGCAAAGGTAGGCTCCTGGCAGATTTATTCTTTTATTTTTTAATTTGTAACTTCTGGATGATGGATTGGTAAGCTATTTCTTTCTTTGTATATCAAACCCTGACCTGCTCTTACCTCTGCATAATCTGCTCACAGCTTGGAGGACTGAATTCTATGTTAGCAATTGAGCAAACAACTTCAATTCCGGTTGTTTCTAAGGTCCCAACCATCATCCTTGGCATGGATGTGTCTCATGGCTCCCCTGGGCAGTCTGATATTCCATCAATTGCTGCGGTAGGGATGATTCTTCATAGTCATTGGGTGTCTCAAGTTTCCTTCAATTGCTCTGTTTGTAATGGTAGTTATTTGAGATGTGATTCTGCAGTCTGTGCATGTTAAATACTTATTAAATATTGCCTATAATGAAGCTTCTTGACCTGTAAAATTTTAAGAATTCCTTTTGTTGAATTTCTAGGTGGTCAGCTCCAGGCAGTGGCCTTTGATTTCCCGCTACAGGGCATCTGTGCGGACACAGTCACCTAAGCTTGAAATGATAGATTCTCTGTTCAAACGAGTGTCTGACAAGGAGGATGAGGGTATCTTTAGGTGCGTGCCAATAAAATTGTTTATGATTTGTTATCTGTTGTTAATCATTCATGTCTAGCATTTTAACTTTGGGGTCTAGTTATGTTTACAGTTGTGTTCCTAATGATTTTATTTTTCAATATCAGGGAGGTTCTCTTGGACTTCTATACAAGTTCAGGAAAGCGAAAGCCTGATCAAATCATAATTTTCAGGTTTGTTTTTACGTTTTGCTGTTTCTCGTGTCCAGTTTGTATGATAATATAAACATTTTCCAAGCATAAATCATCATTTTAGGTAACATGCAAGTACAGAATTTGGTTTTCCTATTTCTTAATTGTCATTGATTTTTCTCTTCGTTGCAAACTCTATAATGACTTCTAAGCCACTATATATTTATTCTACCAGATCATTTTTTACATGTGAAATGTATAACCACTATTTAGGGAATAAGCATCTTTATCTGCATAGTGTCTTCATGCAGCATACGAATTGTACAAGTTGAATGTCCTTTAAACTTCTTCCTGAATTTTGACATGCATCAGATCTTTTATCTTTCTTTTAGCCTCTTCTATATCCCTAATTTATTGTTCTGGCTATGACTTTGACTGTTGTGATAACCCCTCTTAACATTTGTACATCTGTCATATAGTTTTGTTCTGCACTATATCTTCCATGTAAAGCCCTTTTATTTTTTAAAATTCTGCAATTGCAAAAATATGTTTGGTGTTAATCTATATGGCAAACTTATCCTGTTTTTCATGGTTTTCCACTGCAAGTTGTGTTATTATCTTATGGTTTTTTTGGATAGTTAAATTTATCTTATGATTAATCATGTCGCTTGTGTGTATTTCTTTGTGAGTTTGTGGTTACAATGATATGATGTTTGTGTTACATTTATTGAGATGCTCATTATGATTCTTGAATCAATTCAGGGATGGGGTTAGTGAGTCACAGTTCAATCAAGTTTTGAACATTGAACTGGATCAAGTCATTGAGGTATGCAATAAGATAACATCGCTAATGATAAAACATTCTCTTAAGATAGTGATTGGGATAAAACATCAACTATTAACGTTTCTACTTTATAGGCTTGCAAATTTCTTGACGAGAGTTGGAACCCCAAGTTTGTGGTCATCGTTGCACAGAAAAACCATCATACAAAGTTCTTCCAGCAGGGATCTCCTGACAATGTCCCACCTGGTAAGGATCAGTTATGATTCAGCGTGCCACTACAGTATCTTTGTTATGGTGTTCCAGTTGATCCCCTCTTTTCCCTATTATACAGGCACTGTTATAGACAACAAAATCTGTCATCCAAAGAACAATGACTTCTATCTTTGTGCTCATGCGGGAATGATTGTAAGTGTTTCCAGAACTTTGTTTTGTTGATTAATGTTTCTATAGTTATATCTTGTCTTTTTTTCCCCTTTATTAATATGCAAGGAACTTCATTGTTCTTTTTCTACCTTTAAATGTGAATCAAAACTCTGATTTCTGAACTTCATTCTGAGTTTTGCATCTAAATCCTTTTTTTTCTTGATCAAGGCTCAATTGGCTGTTTTTACTTTGAAATGTTTGTGTTAAATATCTTTTTGTGGTGATTACGGTGTTAGTGACGTTTTTGATGTGTTGTAAATTGTTGTAATGTTCATTTCTTCATATAATTTGTGTTTGGTTTCCAGGGAACCACGAGGCCTACCCATTATCATGTTTTGTTAGATCAGATTGGGTTTTCGGCTGATGATCTCCAGGAACTTGTTCATTCTCTGTCATATGTGTGAGTGTATAATCATGTATAGTAATCGCTTCCGCAATGTTTTAATCCATAATATTGTGTTTACTTATAATCTGTGTATTGCAGTTACCAAAGGAGCACCACTGCCATTTCTGTAGGTAAGAAATCTGTTGTAGCTTTTGGCCCCTAGTGTTTGTGTGGCTTTCAGCAACACTTGGTTTGATATAGTTTTTTCTCCTGAAGTGTTTGTTTATATATTTTGTGGGATTGGGAGTATGAGAATGATGATTTTGTTACAGTTGCTCCAATCTGCTACGCACATTTGGCAGCCTCACAGGTTGGAACGTTCATGAAGTTTGAAGATGCATCGGAGACGTCGTCAAGCCATGGTGGGGTTACGGCACCAGGAGTTGTTGCTGTCCCTCAGCTGCCTAGGTTGAATGAGAAAGTCTGCAGCTCAATGTTCTTCTGTTGAGAGGGACGTATGAGCCGAGCCCCATGTTTTGTATAGGCATTTGGTGTTTTTTACCGAACGACTGAAACGGTTTTAAGTTAAAAATGTAGGATTATCCATCCTGGAATGTTTATGATGATGATGCAGTGTTGTTTGAATCATCATCCATTTTGAGTATGAACCTACTGGTCTAGGGTTGTGAACAAGTGGCTCTCGCCTGTGTAACTTGGCTGTGTTTGTGGTGTGGAATGTGGATGATGTTATTCGGCAGGTTATGCTTGAAGAGTTGGATTGTGGCTAAAATATTTGGGTCTTCAATGCTGACTGCAGAAAAATCAATTAGATTCATCTAAAGATCGGATTTTTGATAAGAAAACTTTAAACAAGGATCACAGCAGCAGAGTTGAGCCCATTTAGAGTTTTTTCCCCCTTTTTATATAAAATTTCAATATATTAGTTACACTGAAACTGGAAGCCATAATTGGTCTGGAACATAAGGTTAAATTAAGGTGAATTACATAGAACCTTATTATGATAGAGTTGATTGAATGTGAGGTCCTCAAACTATGGCCTTCGTTCTAAATTGGTTCTTAAACTTTAAAGTATTTTATTTCAATCCTCAAATTATGACTCATTTTAAATTGGTACCTGAATTTTAAAAGTATTCTATTTTTATCCCTCGACAATCTAATTTTACTGGTCTTTTAAAGTTTTGGGAATTGAATTCGTGATCTAAAAAGGTAATATATTTTTAAGGTCAAGAAAATTAAACCCATGACCTAAAAATTAAACTATTTATGAAGGTCCTAAAAATTGTTTAAAAGGTCACGAGTTCAGTCCAGTTCCTATTACCTTAAAAAAATAAGTTAAAATTATTAACCAATAGAGTTAATGATAGATTAACGGTATGATTAGAAATGAAAAGAAAACAATAGCTTGGAAATTGATATAGAATATTTTTAAGTTTAGAGGACTAATTTGGAATGGGGTCGCATTTTGGGAGATTGATATAGAATATTCTAAAGTTTAGAAATTAATTTAGAAAAGTTGTTATAGTTTGAGGACATACTATGCAATCATTTCTATACTATAATAAACGATTACGAAAATTACGTAAACCATTGTAACTTTGAATTTATGACAATATTGGCTGAACTTGTAATCCTTCTACCAGCGTCCTACATTTTTTTTTACCTTTACCTTAATTCAGCCTCATTTCAGTATGCAAAAAATATCTTCCATCTGATTTATGTTCTCAAATCACAAGTTAAAAATAACCCAAACGAAAAACAATGGAGAAAATAAAAATTAATTGCTAACAAGAAGTTATTGAAAAACGATAATCACATTTCATAAAAAGTATATTATAACAAAATGAAAAATTAAAGATTTTATAAAGAAAATGTTCATTTACAATTTAATTGTTTTGTTTTCCAATATCATATTCAAGTTTGTTAAGAAGTGAACCTTTTTCAAGTTGGAATTGAGTTTTATGTCATTCTTATCTTGTATATGTAATGTTGCAGGCAATATGAAGTATTATGCCATTCTCACCATACCTAGGACAAGTAAATGGCCAGCCACCATCTTCATATATATATATATATATATATATATATATACACAATAAACAACAAAAGGTTATCATGCAAAACAATATACAGGACCTTCCCATCTCTAAAACAACTGATTACATCACAAAACACACTTCACCACATGTTCTAAATGCACAAAAAGAATTTGTCCAATTTCACAGCTCCCTTTATCTTCCATTGCAAAACAACTAATGAAACACATGCAGAGACTAAGAATCAATAGAGCTGGGAATGCTCATTAAAACCACAAAAGCAGCAGTCCGGACCATATAGCCATCGTACCTGCAATTTAAAATCTAATCCCGTCCAATATGGTAGTTAATGATTTCATAAGCTATATCATGACACGGCAGTCTATATCAAGTTAAAATCAGTGGAAACCAAACAAGCCAATAACATTCCATACAAATTACCATCAAATTTACAGAACCACAATTCAAAAAAATGTAAATAACCCCAAAAATGTTGTCACATAAACCCAAATTAAGAACATTCTTGAAAATAGAATAATAAAAAAAGGGTACGGAAAAGGAATTGTTTGAGTCACACTTGAAAATATAAAAAAGGCATAGTAGCATCTAAATGAAAATTCTACTTGTTACTCAACATTTTTCAAGAAACAAATATTCTAACTGAAATAGCACACCTTTTTAAAAACATGAGAAGGTGGGAGAGTACGAAAACAAAAATGAAAATACAGGTTAAAGATTTCTGATCTTTATACTAGGCAAACAATAACAACTTTTGGGTACAAATTTAAAGACCACGTTTGCATGAGTGCCAGGAACTTCAGAATCACCAGAGTTGAAAATAAAATGATTGATGCATCTATGAAAGTATCTGCACAAAAATAAAGCATAAACAGTTTCAAAAACAAGAGACTTATGGAAAAAGATGAAGTTTCATACCTTCGGCAGAAACAAATAAGATCATGTTAATAAAGTTTAACCAACTAAAATTTGAAGGATAACAATGAAAGAATACAAAATGAAACTCAATAGACAACGTTAAGTGAGATGAAAGCAAGAAGAACGGTTCATTTTAATTTTAGAAAGGAAACAAAAAAATCAAATAAATTTTAAAGATATATGGATCAACTTCAAAGAAATATAGATGATTACAAAATTTGTAATGAAGCCTTCATATAAGAAAAGCTCAGACTCAATAACATCCCAACTCTTAAGAAGCATTTGCTCTGTCCAAGAGTTGAAAAATTAACCTTGTTAAACTACAACCAAACAATTAACTTCGAAATATTAAAGTATTAACATAAAAGTTAAAGCATACTAAGAAGTAAGAAATCTAGTCATTCATCGACAATTAAGTCATGTTGTTAAACTAACACCGAACAATTAACTTAAAACATATTATTAAGTATTAACTTAAAATCGGGTAAGGTACACTAGAGGCAATTGAACTATGCTTAAATTATCTTTTTGATCATTGAACTTTTAAAAGTTACAAAAGGGTCACTGTGACATTATAATGATTGTAAAATTTCTATAAACTAATGATCATTTTGTAACATTTCGATAAAATTTAATGACTATTTTGTAACAAACTGATAAAATTTAATGACCATTTTCTAAAAATTCAATAAATTTAATGACTATCTTGTAACAATTTGATAAAATTGGTGAGCAAAACAATTTAATGACTTCTAGTGTACTTAACCCTAAAAGTTAAAGCAAACTAAGAAGAACTGTAGTCATTCATCAACAATTAAGTCCAGTTGAGGTTTTAAACACAGCAATTCTTATGGCACATTTTTATGCAATTCTTTTTCAGCTTTGCAACAAACCTGATCCTGACCACTAACCACCCATTGCGAGATCATGATTTATGGCACATTTCCCTCATTAGAATCAAATTCGCATTTGATAGTTCTATTATGCATAAAGATCATGCAAATGCAACAATACTATAAATGATGAAAAAAATATAATATCCAGATACCTTGGGCTTCACCTAATGTCCCATGTAAGGAGCACTGCCACCGGGTTGATTCCTACCAGCACCACCCTGACCCATCTGTGGGTTTTGATATCCACCCTGCACTCCATAGCCTCCAGCAACCTGATTCCCATAGCCTGCACTGGGTGCTCCTTGGTTGACAGGGGCACCACTAAACCCTCCAAGCAGATTACCAAGCCCCAAGCCCCCCTGTCCAGAAAGCAATGCAGTCAAAGCCTGTCCAAGTGCTGGGTTTAAAGCAGGTGCAGCAGCAGGGTTAAAGCCAGTAGCAGCAACTCCAGGGTTGAACCCCACTGCAGTAGGACCAGATGGAGCCATCAAATGACCAGTGTCTGATCCAGAGGTCGAATACTTTCCCTTCTTAGCATGGTGGTAATGAGACTGAATCTGATGTGCTCCTTGCTGGTGCTGGTGGTACTCCTGATGATGCCCACCAGAAGTACCTCCTCCATAACCACCTTTAGTCAATTTCGGCCCGTCAATGGCTTTTTGGCAATGCAAAACATGACTTTCAAAATTTTTATGAGGCTCCTCCAATGCTTTCCTGGCACTTTCAGCCGACCTGTATACAAAAAGGGCAAACCCCTTTGGTTTCCCTGTCTGCTTATCAAGCCCCAATGGACCTTCCTCAATTTCACCATACTGTCTAAAAAACTCTAGCAACTTCTCTGGGTCCAATTCAGCTGACACATTGCTAACAAAAATCTTCTTTTGAGTATACTCAGAAGCAGGTGGAGCATTCGGAGGAGGTGCAGGAACCGGCCCTTGTGAAGCCAACTGGCAAGAAGTAATTCTATTCCCAATCTTCTTCTGGGGTTGTTTCAAAGCCCGGCGTGCCCCGCTCCGATGCTTGAATAGAATAAAAGCGTAACCTTTGGATTTCCCAGAAACCCTATCGGTAACAGCTTTGCATTCTTCAATTTCCCCATATTTAGTAAACTCTGCAGTGAGGGTTTCAGCAGTGGTATCCCAACTTAACCCATGAACGAAGATCTTCCTGTGGGCCGGGTCTGCATCGGCGAACTCCCGAACGGACGAGATAAATTCCGGGTGTTTATAAACCGCTTTCTTAATAAGGGTAATCAATTGATCTTTCCCGAATGGCTCTAGAAGTTTCTCGAACGGCTCGTCATCCAATTCTTCTTCCTGATCCGTTCCCTTAGGGGCTCCATTTTGAATGGAGGCGATAGAGGAACCAACTAGGGTTTGGTTTGGAGCTCGTTCGCCTTCGTCATCATCATCTTCTTCTTCCTCCTCGTCTTCTTCAACTTCAACTTCCTCTTCTACTTCTACTTCTACTTCTACTTCTTCTTCAACTTCTACCTCCTCTTCCACTTCCTGTAGATGCTGCTCCTCGCCTAGTTCCGGGTTCAGGTTTTCGTCGGATATATACGGGGGCTGTTCTTGCTGTTCTTGCTGTTCTTGCTGTTCTTGTTGAATTGGTTGAGGATCTGAGGTGGTTTTGGTGGGTCGGGGTTCAGAGGATCGTTGCTTTCGCTTTTTTGCCATGGATGAAAAGAAAATTAGGATTTTTATTATGAGTTTTGAAGGAATTGCTAGGGTTTGGAAGTCGAAGGAGTCTATCAACATATAAAACAAATATATTTTCAGTTCCCAATTTCAGCTGTTAGATTAAGGATATATCCGACTTTATACGTATCATTAACTCCATATAATTATGGGTAAATTAGACTACTCATCACTGAATTTTACTCTCTCCTATTTCATTCACTATACTTTTAATTAGTTCAATTTAATTACTAACTTTATATATTAATTTTACTTCATAACACTGTTATAACGTAGCTTATTTTAATATCAGAATGAGCCACATAAGATGTACATTCCATAAAATAAAAATTAATATTTAGGGTCAAAATTATTAACCCTAAAAAATCACCTAGAAAGGGAAAGAAGAAAATCCATCCATGACGGTCACATTTATTCTTTCCTTTATCATCTCCATCACCTCTCTCAAAACCCATCTCCAGATATTATTCATTTTCCCTTAACACACGTCAAAAAATCCTTTTATCTCCAATAATCTTATCTTTGACTTTTATTTAACAAACATCCTCTCAATTTATAGAAGATTGGTGTTTTTGATGGCACATGAAGAAATCTTTCCTTCTTGTGTCTGGTTCGAGATGAGCCAACTAGTTTTACATTATATATATATATTAGATATTATAATTTGTAAGTATAAAATATTTATCTACTAGATATCTTTTAATATATATATATATATATATATATTATTTTTTATGTGTACATATATGTATATGTTTATATATTATAGTATGTTTTAATTTGCCTAGATATATTTTGTAAATAAAAATTAACTTATTTTAATATACATTTTATAATTATTTATATGTATATATGAATTTTATTATATTATACTATATTTTCCTTACGTATACGAAATACTTATACATGTCATTTCATTTGCATTGACATCGCTTATCATATGACTCTTTATTAATAGTGCATTAATAATGAGAGTAAGAGCAATGTTATTTTATTTTAAATTTTTGAGAAATTGTTGTCTAGATGTACAAGAAATTTTCTCTCGATAATTTTAAGTAAAAGAATATCCTATTAAGAGAAATTACAAAAAAAAAATATTATAATTTTTAATTATTAAAAAATAAAAAAAATATTCTTTAATTTAAATTTATCAAAAAAATTATCTAAACACCCTAAAAACCTTTTTCTCAATGATTAGAAATAATTTAACACTCTTTATTAATGAGCTACTATGGGGATTCTCCAAGGGGAATGGTGAACATTTATCGTATCTCTTGCTGCCTTACAGCTTTCACGCGCATTTTCTCATCCAATACATCCAATTAATTGGGTTTTTGTAAAACAGGTTGAATCTGCAGTCGAGTTTGCCAGGATATGTAGAAAGCTGGACAACCATAATTTTGTCTTTTCAATGAAAGCAAGCAATCCGGTTGTCATGGTCCAGGCTTAACGTCTGTTTGTGGCTGAAATGTACGTTCATGGCTGGGATTATCCACTACATCTGGGAGTCACTGAAGCTGGAGAAGGTGAGGATGAAATCTGCGATTGGCATTGGGACCCTTCTTCAGGTACCTTCACAGTACAAATAGAGCATAGTCAACAGAAGCGGTTACTATTAAAAGTTTCCAATGCTTGTGGTTCTGCAATGCTCCGCAGCTATGGTGATTTTAAAAATGTGTTTGGAAAGTCTGGCTCATTTGTTGATAATATGATCTTATACTTGCAGGATGGTTTAGGTGACACAATCAGAGTTTCACTGACCGAGCCACCCGAGGAAGAGATAGATCCGTGTAGAAGGATGGCTAACCTTGGTATGAAAGCTGCCGAACTTCAGCAAGGGGTGGCAGGATTTGGAAACATTGATTAATTAGACATGTTTTATCACTTCAAATACCATTATTTTGAGAACCTTTCTTTCTGACTCGAAATTTCAACCAGCACGATTTGAGGAAAAGCACAGACATTACTTTGATTTCCGGCGTCGATCTGGTCAACTGCTAACACAAAAGAAGGTTAACCATAGGTGTCTCATTATCATCCTGTTAGCTGATCCTTTTCCCTGAACTGTTCTGAAATGAGAATTTATTTCTTTATAGGGTGAAGAGGTGGACTGTAGTGGTATCTAGCATCGTGATGGCTCAGTTCTTATGTCGGTTTCCCTGGATCAGTTGAAGGTAACATATTCACTCTAACTTCCTTGATTGAGATGGCGGAGTATTTCAGTAATTACCCCCCCCCCCGGGGACCCTGCAGGCACCAGATCTCTTACACAAGTCACTTGCAGCAAAGCTAGTTGTTGGCATGCCATTTAAGGTCTACTCTTGGTCCATTTACTATATAAAATTGGTTTCATCTCAACTGCATTGTAATATGTCAATACAGGACTTGGCAACGGTGGACTCAATCATACTGAGGGAGCTTCCACCGGTAGATGACAGTGATACCGTAAGAAACTGATTTCTTGTCATTTATCGCACTCTCTACTCTTCACAAAAAAATGGAACTGACACTATTCATTGTACTATAACCAGAGGCTGGCTCTTAAAAGGTTGATAGACATAAGCATGGGTGTCATAACGCCTTTATCGGAGCAGCTAACAAAACCATTGCCTAATGCTATCGCTCTGGTAAACCTTAAGGAATTATCAACCGGAGCGTACAAGCTTTTGCCAGAAGGTGCTGCTGCTAATTTTTATATTGAGTTCGGAAATCGTGGATGGATATCGTCAACTATTCTTTCTTTGCTCATACGCTATCAATTCATTCATCTTGCAGGTACGTGCTTGGCTTTATCTGTGCGTGGTGACGAGCCCTACGAAGAGTTGGAAATCCTTAAAGACATTGATCCTTCTGTACTTCTTCATAATGTACCCTACAATGAAGTAAAGAATCATAAGTTTGGCCGACTGCATGCAGCAAGGAGGTAATATACTTATGACTTGATTTTCTTATTTGTTATAAGATTAGTGCTATTTTTGGTTATGCTAGACTTGTTTTATGTTTACACAGGTTATTTGAGTATCTATCGGAGAATAGTCTCAATTTCCCTGTAATCCACCATATTCAGTTTCCGAATGGGATTCACAGGTACCTAAAAAGCCCTATGCTACTTGTTGATCGAGGTAATGTTTTTTTCTCAGCATATGCAGGGATGACTTGGTCATTAATGCCGGAGCCCTTCTGTTGGATGGACTCGGGGATGGTGTCCTATTAGAAACCCCAGACCAAGATTTCGATTTCCTCATAAACACTTCTTTCAACTTACTACAGGGCTGTAGAATGAGAAATACCAAGACGGTATGAATCTTATCTTTTTGAGTCGAAAAACGTCGACAATCTTCGAAGATATGTATAATATGACATGTTTTGCGGTCTCAGGAGTATGTATCATGCCCATCCTGTGGCAGAACTTTGTTTGACCTTCAAGAAATAAGTGCACAAATACGAGATAAGACGTCGCACTTGCCTGGCGTTTCCGTAATAACCAGTCTGCTATGTCCTGTTGAACATGAAGAAAATTGTTGAGTCGATAAATAATGCGAGTTCATAATGTTTCAGATTGCAATAATGGGTTGCATCGTGAATTGGCCAGGAGAAATGGCTGATGCAGATTTTGGATACGTTGGTGGTGCTCCAGGAAAATTTGACCTTTATGTAGGCAAGGTTGAGCATTTCATGCCTTTGTAAAGTCATCTGGCAGTTACATGGGGAAAAAACTAACTGAAAATGCAACAGAAAACATGAATAATTAGGTAAATTATTTGAACGTAACAAGTACATGGATTGTGTTTCAGAGTGTTGTTAAGCGTGGAATTGCCATGGAGCATGCAACCGACGCTCTGATCCAGCTGTTAAAAGATCATGGCCGATGGGTAAACCCTCCTGCTGAAGAATAAGCCTGCTGATCGGAGTATTACCCAGTTCCATACAACAATAAATCACAGCCTAGTTGCAGGCTGCACATGCAATAACGCGTTAAAATGCTTCAAAGATGTAGACATTACTTCTATACATGGAAAACAGATATTATTGTGTCTTACTACGACATGGAATATAGAAATTCATTTATTCCATGACATTAATCAATAATTTGTGGTCTTTTTGGGTAAAACACACAAATGGTCCCCTGTTCACAGGGTGTTGTTTTGTTAAGTATTTCAACTATTAAAAGTTACAAAATAGTCTCTCAACTAGAGGATGTTGCTTTGTTGAGGAACTCGACTATTAAAAGTTACAAAATAATCACTTAACAATTATTCATATGTACCAAACTTGTTAATTTTTTTGTTAAAATTTAATGAAAGGTTGAGTTGAACATTAATCTATTGACAAATATATGATAATTGTTTGAGATTTTGAGATCAGATTTTATCATATCACAGTCAGTAACTTAACGTCCAACTCAAATTGTTGTTAGTTTTTAACAAAAAATGACGAGTTTAGAACATATGAATAGTCATGTGATTATTTTATAACTTTTAATAATCAGTGACTAAACAAAACAATAGCCTATAGTCAAAGGATTTAACAAAACAACGTCCTATAGTTGAAGGATCATTTGTGTACTTTACTCACTGTTTATAATTTAGGGTAATAACAATATAATATTTGTTCAAAATCATTCTTTATAAACAATATTTTTTTTAAGAAGAATGCTTCCATTAATCAGTAAAGTCGTTTAATAGATTCCCACTTTGTGATTTTTAAATAAATTAAAAAGAGGGTTGAAACAGAGATGCAATTTGGAAGGCAAAATTCATCACTGGATCCATGCCCCTGTTAATGGCGATGTCACATTAAACCCTTTCAATCATATAATACATATGAGGGGCCACCAGCAATTAACTTTAGCCCCTCCCTCGCCCATTAAAGAAGATGCATTAACAAGAGACAGATGTCATGAACTGTTAGTTGTTATAAGCACAAGTTAACTTATGCTAAAAGAAAATACGGGGGAAAATAAATTGAAAGCCGAAAGGCTCAAACCGGTAAAATTAACTTTGAATATTGTCGTGAAAAAATAAATTATTTGAATAAGATAATCAGAAATTATTTCATAATCTAAAATGATTATTATAGTAATCAAGATTTCGTCACTGCACTTTTAAATAAAACTTAGATCGTGCAATCTATATGATTTTCAGAAATCATAGTATAATTCTGATAAGATAATTACTATAACAATCATCTTAGATTATAAAATATTTTTTTATTGAACCTTAATTGCTTGTTGAATCTTACTTATGTAATTCTTTTTCATCATAATATACAAACAATTTTATCGGCTTAGACCGAAAATTGAATTATTGAGAGAAAAGGTTGGATTGAGAAAATGTTTTTAAAAAAAATTAAATAGAAATACTCATCCGTGCTCCAATGGAAAATTCATCAAATAAACGAAACTAAAAAGGAAAATAAAATACTGTTTTTTTCTTTGACTAATACTAATAATAGTGCAGAATTCACTACTAATGAAAAACGCGACTACAATAATCTAATCTACTGTCAAAATAGTCCAAAGAATATAGCATAATAAATTCAGTTCGTCGACTAATCATAATAACACACAAAAAATCAAATGCAAGTAGAAAAAAATTTGACTATAACCTCTTCTGATCTCGTTTGCTTTAAACTGTATAATCTCCCACTGGTCTTCTTCTTCAGAGAAGTTCTGCCCTGGCGGCGTATCCATACTGAGATCTCCTGATATTATCTTGTCTCTTCTTGTAAACCAATCCACCGACACCAACCAAGCACGCTGCAACCACCACGGCCACCACTATTCCTGCTTTTTTTCCGCCGCTCATTCCTCCTCCACCACCACCACCGCCGGTATTCTCTTCGCCTACGTCTGCATTGATGTTGCTGTGGTTGATATCGCTGGCTTCATCCGGTGAAGGAGCAGGAGAACGCGGCGGCAGCGCTGAAACTCCTTGTTCCAGATCTGATGGAGATGGCGCTGGAGGAGAAGAATCAAAAGCCGGCGAGATTGCTGGTGGAGAGTCAGGAGTAGGCGCGAGATGCGGAGACAAGTCCGATCCGAGTAAAGGCGAGGGCGAGGGCGAGGGTGAATCAGCGGCGAAGGCGAGTTGAAGAAGTAGGAGTGAAGCAATGGTAAGGACACAGAGTTTACCCATTTCAGTAGATCTCCGAAAAATACTTGAAGAAGAAGAATGCAGTTGAAAAGATAAAACAAGGGGGGTTTGAAAACGAGGAGAGAGGAGTATATATAGGAGGGTAAAAAGGGGAGAAGATTTAGGGAGTGAGTACTGAATTTGATTTTTATTTCACTATCAACAAAATTACTTTGATAAACATCGGCTACCATCTCAAATCCACGATAATTTCGGTTAATTAATTTTAGAATAATTGGTAATTAACGCATTATTTAGTTTTTATTTTAATTATTTAATTATTATTTTGAAAAAATTATATCTAACATTAGATGTTGATCCTATTCTGATTATATGTTATTAAAATAATGATAATATTAATATGTAATCCCAATATACTATCAAATCAATATTGAAAAATAACTAAAACATACATATAATCACCCTCGTTAATTTTTTAATGACGAGTGTCCGAAACAAATTCAAAATATTACATCATTATATAATATTTGAAAAAAAAATAATTAAATGATTAAAATAAAAAACTAAGTAATATGTGAGTTATCAAATAGATAATTTAATTGATTTTTTATGTTTTTAAAAATAAAATATATTTTATCAAATTAGAATCGGATTGATTTCATGAATTTAAACGTATTTATATATTATTTAATTTAAGAAATCATGGTATTATAACTTTAGAAAATAAAAGAAAAATATACAAAAAATTGATTTTAAAATAAATTATTTCTATCTTATTCAATTTGATGTTTAAAAAATAATACTCACCTCATCTTATTAATTGTGTCTCATATTGATAAAAATATGTAGTTTTAGGAGATAAATTTGATCATATATAACATAAGATAAATGGTAAAATTATTCTTCAAAAATTAATTGATAGATCTAACAGATTTTATTTGAATAGATTTATAAGAACAAGGGTAAAAGATAAAATATAAGTGTTATTATTTGTTTACTTTTCTAATAAGACATTTTGAATAAAACAGTTATAAAACTTAAAATGGACAAATTTAATAAGACGAAGGGAGTAAAAAGATATACTTTAAAATAAAACATAGTTATTTTATTTTAAAAATGATAGTTTATTTTAATAGTAAAAATGATAAAAAAAAATAATAATAATGGTTACTGTAATGAAACGATGGAAGAAATCAAAATTACAATGCAACTAAGCATAGAGAAAAAATTTGGGGATAATTGTCATAAAAAATCATACAAAATAAAAATACTAAATCCAAATATACGAATAAAAATGAAATATTCATTCGAGAATGACAACCAACATATAAAGAATTTAGTAACCTTTATAAAAAAAATTCTGTAGAATGAGGTGCTTTACGAATTGATATAGAAGTGGTGAGCGAATCAACCTATTTGATAGATTGCTTTGCTATACTGGTTATCCCTTGTTCCCATATGTAATGGGGTAAGGGAGGTAAGATAGTAAGCTGGCCCCCAACACCAAGTTGAGAGCAGCTTCCGTAGAAGACCTTCGAAATATGAAATGCCCTCCGTGAGACTCGATCCCACGACCTCAAGATTAAGAACCTTGTGCTCTATCAACTAAGCTGGATATATTATTTTTCTACACTATTTTGATTATATCGATAAACAACTTTTTAACGAAAAAGATATATGATTATATATGACTATCGACAAACCAATTAGAAAATAAATGTTGTGAATATATTTGTGCGAGAACCAGAACGACCACAAAGGTATACGAAAAATTATCAAAAGCCATAAGGATCGTGGCATAATAACATAGAAAACGCGTGTCATGAACATAAAAAAACATGTCATAAAAATATATATTCTTATTTAAATTTTAAAAAAAAAATTCAAAAGTAAAAAGAAAACAAAAAAATATGAAAAAAATTAATAATCTCCTACAATCAATTACCTCCCCCTTACCCCATACATATGGGAAAAAAGGGACAGCCATTTAATCAATTACCAACGTTAAAATTAATAACTCACTATCGACTCACTCAACACTCCTAATCTTGGCCAATTTTATTAGATCAATCATTTGGAAATGGGCCTCAACGCCGTCCAAGGCTTTCCTATTCGGGGACATGAACACAATGAAACAACAAAATTGGAGGAGCGACATTCATCTTCTTCCTCTTCTTCCTCTTTTCCCTATTTGTGTTTTTATTTTGTAAGTAAAACCAAAAACCTAAAGAAATTACCCCCCAAATCGGACGCCAAAATTCTGATATTCTGATCATGATCAGCGTTCTAGCTCAGGTTCCCAATCCAATTAAACCTAAAACGTTTCATCTTTTTTCTTTCTGGATTCTTCTTCTTTCCTTATAAATATCTGGTACTTGATGAAAATCCAGGAGCGTTTGCTTGGTGCAGCGTTAGGATGTGCATTGACGGGAGCCGTTGTATTCGAGCAACGGAGACGGATATATGAATTCGTTTCAGATTATCAATCTCAGCTCGCTTCCCAATCTATGGTATTTTCTTAGATTCATTTTCTAGTTGATTATTATTTCATATATTCTGTTCAAACCCTAGAAAATAGGTTGTTGATCAAAGTTATAATGGTCACTGGAGGAAAAAATATCATATTTTGAGCTTCTTTTTCATAATTAATTGTGTATTTATAGAAGAAGATTCATTACTCTGTTATGTCATTATCTATATTTTAGATGAAACGAAATGAGATGTTTTGTATTTGAATAAGATTCGGACGTTTTAGAGACATTTATAACTGATGAAGTTTTATGGGATAAGGCCATTGCTATTGCAAGTCATTATTAATGCCTACACCAATTTTGTCTCACAATTTATTTGCTTAAGCTGATGTCTAATGAGTTATGTAGAACAACTATGCCCTAGTTAATGTGGTCTAAACTGTTCTGCTCAAACCTTTGTGTTTTAGCCTTTAGCTTAGGTATTAGAAGATGGGAATTTGATTGGAAGCAGGAAAAATGCGAAATGCTTAATGCGAAATGTAGATTTTAGCTTTAAATTTGGCTCTTTGAAGGAACAAGATGAATTGGCTTTCTTCTTCTTCATTTTTGGGAATTTCTTGTTAGCAGCATTTTGCTCTCTCGTTTAGGTATTAAAAGTATTGCTTTTGTTTTAAGGTGTCTTTGTAGTTAAACTGTATCCAATTAAGCTCTTAAAAGTTTTGCTTTTGTTTTATTATGTCATGTTTTGCATGAAAACAGTAAACTCTAAAATTAATTAGGCAAATAGGTCTTTTGATCTAACAACAATGGCTTAATTGGACAAAATTAATACATTTAAACGCTCGTTGGATAAAACTGAAGGATAGGGATATATTTAAGGAACTCAGTAAGTGTAAGGGTTCTTTTAGTATTTTAGCCATGTTTTAATTTGAGAGAATTTGTTACCCAGATGATGAACCTATTACTATGTATAAAAAAGTTGGTAGTTTACCAGATTTGTATTTCACAAGTTCTCATAGTTTTTACTCTGAACTTCTTCTAGACGAAAGAACCGATATTTGGAAAGAAATCTCGCTCGGAGTTTGCCCTTCTATGGAACAAAACTGTGGACCAGATAGCTGTGCCAGTAATTGAAGCCATTAGTTCACGTCGATGGTAGAAGATTCGGGGTAATTTTACAGCCAACTATCGATGTGTCTCCAACATAATGTTATTGCACATGTACGCTTTCTTGCAGTCAATTTAATCTCACATATCTTTGAACCTAAAGAGGGAATATGCATTCTTGTTTGTTATACCTAACTTATAATAATAGTAAATTCGATTTTGGGACGAATGGTTTTTTGAAGGATTTTCTGATATATTTTCTTCATTGTTTCTTTTTTTGATGGTATGAACTATGAATCTTCGTTGACTTGTTGATTAATACTATTTTCAATTATACTCAGAATTTATATAGCAGAATTATGTGCAAACTATGCATCTTAAATTCATGTTTATGAACATAAAACTAATGGTTTTGCTCTTAATTATCAAAATTCTAGACCCTGGGGAGTAAATATAATCACTAAAGTGCATTATGGTATAGTCAATAAAAAGAAAATATTTTTGATAAAAAGAAACTCTAAATTCTGTATAAATTTATTAAAATCATGATGCGATTGTCAATAGCAATATGATCTGTTGATAGAATTTTGAACTTTTGAATCAATGTCAATAACAGTACCGACCAAGGATTAATTTTAACCACCTTAATTATTATAACCAGCATGCAATTATTAAGCATCTTAATTATCGAACCAGTCATGAAATTATGAATATAAAATGGGAGAATTCAGGTCCTGCAGCTTTAACTTGTGCTTAATGGTAAAATTAGCTTTCTTGTATCTATTATTCTATAAGTTTGACATTACTTTTACAAAGTGTTTTTTAAAAGTTATTTTGGATTATTTCGTTTACAAATTGAGTGTTTGAGAATTTTGTCAAAAAATACTTTTTAAGTTGATAAAATGTATGTTTTACACATTGCTTTTGAAAATATAAAAGAATTAGGGATATAGGTGAGGCTAAATAAGTAATTTTGCTCAAAAGTATTTTTAAAAAATATTACTATAAGTTAGAAATTTTAACTTTTTAATCAAATTAAGTTAAAAAAAATGATTTTTGATCTGAAAAGTTACATGTTGTGCATTACTTTTAGCTTGAAAACATTTTTGACTCCAAAAACTTACGAATAATATTATAATTTTACTTAAAAAAATAGACATTGAATGAGGAATGAGGAATGAGAATGTAATATGTAATCAATAATAAAAATGAGAGAATGTAACACATAACCAATGGGAATGTAATCTGTAACACGTTTCTGTTAAATATCAATAGAGAAAAAAAATGATAATATAGATAAGAATTTTTTAAAAAGATATATTATAATTTAAGGTCAAATTTTATTATTAAACCTTGTTTTGGAACTGTATCCAATGATTAAACAATCCCAATCATCTTGCCTTGACTTTCAGGAACTACAGTTTTTGTGTCTGCCATTGCCTCGAATGATTGTGATGATAAACTTTGGTTATAGGTCAGACACTGAAAATAGTCTAAATATGAAAAAACACTACCATCCCACTTATATAACCAACTGAATCTTAAAACAAATACACTCCATGAAAGCAGATTGGAAGCAGGAAAACACCCATATATATGTATTAGCCTATATATATGTATTTATACAATGGAGAGAGGGTTGGTGATTGAAGAGCACACTATCAGGCATCAGGTTGAACAGTGTCGGGTCGACTAGCCATAGCATTAGCTCGACGAGTGTTAAGCACATAGAAAACACCCATTGCCGAAAGCACTACAAACGCCAGACCCAATACAATGGCAGCAACTCCACCAGCTCCCATTCGATGGCCTGATTTCTGTCTCGGTATTACTTTGGTTTCAAGTGCTTTGTCCACTTCAGCCGCCATTAGCAACGGTGAGTTTTTGGGGTCTGGGTTTTGGGTTTTGGGGTGGAAGAATTCATATGCCGATGGTGAGAAGGCCATGGGATTCTCGTGGGAAATGCCATGGGGAGCTCTGTCTTGAGTCTTGGCAATGGAGACGAGAGCTAGAGAAGATAACAGAAGCAAGAAAGAAGCAGCAGAAGGACTCATGCTTTGATTTTGGGTTAAAAGTTTGGGGGTGCCTTTACAAAGGGTTTGGTGAGGGCCTTTTAAAGAGGTTGTTGCTTAGCATTTAATTTTTGGTAATGCAAATGATGATTAAAAAGAGGGGAACAAAATGATGAACATGATTATTTCTAAATAGTTGGTTTCCCAAACTTCTCCTTCATTTCTGTCCTGGAATACCCCTGTTCAACTTGCACATAAGATAAGTAAGTGCATCCCAAAGATAAAAGAAGAGGTCAAAATACATTCCAAATATTAAAAAAACAATTTCAAATCTTTTCAATTTAATTGCAAGAGGGGTTCATGGATCAAGTTAGATTAGACTTATACAAGATTGTTGATCGGTAAAGTAGACATCAACAGTAGGTGAGATTTTAGATGGTCGTTTTGGTTGTGTTGGTCTGATTTTTTGAGGAAAAAAAAAGATTTGTACGTACTCGTACTCTTTGTTGCATGATCATTATAGTGTCCTAGACAGATGTCAATAGGAAGTTATCGTAGCATGAATGTTGGTTGGACATCTTAGGAAGTGATAGTTTAGATTTATTTATCATCAAAAGAGATCATGTGTATCAATACGTGGTTGTTGGTGATCTCATATGCGAGAAATATTCGCAAGATAGTAGGTTCGCATAAATCATATGTTTGTTTATTTGGAGGTTCGTGTGGTTAGAGGTTTGCATAATCCATAAACTCACAAATGACAACAAATATATACTATATTTTATAATTATTTGAACTTGTTCTAATTTATAATCTTAGGCTTAAATTTTCTCCAAAATTGATTATAATTATAAATAATTAATCTAAGCTCTTTTTGATATTTTTGAAATATTTTTTTAACTTTTTTTTAATTATATTTTATTTTCGATTATATTAAACGATTTCACAATATTTTATTTTATTAAAATTTTAAACAGGCAACCTATTATATCTTTTAACTTTTATCCTGTAGTATGATTTATTATTATATATTTAATATCTTTATGATATAAATTATATAATATATAAAAATTTAATCGTTGATTAAACTCTAACTTGCAAATAGTTAATAGAATCGGATTTGATTGAACCCTAACTTTAATCGTTGAAAGTCGAAGTCCGAACTCATCTAATTTTAAATTAACCTAAACTTTTCTACATTTTAAAGATGTCTTTGAACTAAACTTGTAATAAAGAAGTGTCTATTATTGTCCTAATTGAATGCCAAACTCAAATTTTGATATTTCAATTCGATTCGATTTGAAAAAACTCAATTCGAATTGACTCGACTCAAATTGATTCAACTTGTAATTTTATAAATTTGACTCAAATTTTTCAAATTCAAGTCGAGTTATAAAATAAAACTCGAATAATTTGAATAGTAACTTGACCAACTCGAAATTTTTAATAATTAGACGATTGCTTTTCAAGTTTGAGTTGAATCTCTCAATTATGTATGATATATGTATATTACATATGCAAAATGTGAAGAAATATATATGTATTGTATATGATTATATAAAACCGTTTAAATTGGAATCAAATAGTACCATAATAGTATAAATATTTATAATTAAATTTAAACATAAAATCAAACAACTTGACTCGAAAAAGTTTCAAATAAAATTTGAGTCATAAAAAATGAATCGTCAGCTCGAATAACTCAAAAAAAAATTTACATGACTCGATCGAGCACTTATCCTGCTAATGCTATCATCTTTTAGCTTTTTTTTTCTCATAATTGTAGAATGTAGCTAATAATGGCAAATGCATGTTCTTTTCTTTCTTTTTAATGTCCATTTTGCTTATCTCACAAAGTCAAGTTTCTATCTGTTTGATTGCCTTCATAAAACACTTTAATGAAGAAGGGATTGAGAAGAACAACTCGTTATGATTTTAATTCACTCACATGCAATTCAAGAACATCATACCTTAATCTCATCATTTACATGGAAAATCATAAATCAAAGAAACTAGGCTGTGAATGATTTTGGATTCTTTATTAAACATTTTTTTGAGTTAATTGCATCATTTGTCCCTAAACTATAAGCCTTATTTTAAATTGATCCTTAAACTTTTGAATATTTCAGTTTCATTCTCAAACTATAACTCTCATCCTAAATTAGTCCTTAAACTTTTAAACATTCTGATTTTATCACTAAACTATGACCTTCACTCTAAATTGGCCCCCAAACTTTTGAATTTTCTAATTTCACCCCTAAGTTCATCTAAATATGTAATTAGTTTCAACCATAGTTCAACCTAATTTTTTTTCAAACATATAATAATATAACTTGGCCTAACGATGTTATTAAAAAGGGATGTGATTGGCATATTAGTAGTTTGGAATGAAATTAAAATGTTCAAAAGTTTAGGGACTAATTTAGAATGATAATTGTACTTTAAGTATGAAATTAGATCATTTGAAATTTAGAGACTAATTTAAAGTAAGGATCATACTTTGAGGACATAATACAAATAAAATTTCTTTAGTAAACATGAGAAAAGGAAAGTGGGGTTTAAACTTTAGATAGCTTGAAGGATGAGCAAAGGAACTAAGAACCCATAATTTGATGTGAGGTAATTATAATGACACCTGCCCTTCAATAATATTGCATGAAGTGATGAGCATGGGTGAAAACTGAAATCGATTGCAGCAATGACCCAATCTTCCCCCGCATGGAATACTTTAACATCATTCTTCACGAACTCATGAACTCATTTAGTAGCCTTAGTAGTAAAAGAAAATATTGTTCTTCCTATAAGATTCAAGTTCGAACAGTTACATTTACAGAGTGTATACAACATTATCAATAACTAAAAAATTCTAAACATAAAATATTTTATAATCACTCAAATTATTAAAATAACATCCTTCTTCATATTAATTTCCTTGTCTTGTTGTATTTGTTATCTAACACTTGAAGTGGCTCATTTGCCACTTTCTAAGTAGATGGACCTTTAGGGCTTTACTTGTTCTAGTCTTGATTTTGCTTTGGAAAGGGTTTGACGCAGTGATTCAATGGTTGACATTAACAGCCATATAAACTAAACACTTTTTTTTAATTATTATGTACACTTCAATGGTTCCCTCTCAAGCTTCTACTCCCAACACGTCGAGAAAAGAAAATGCAAAAAGGAACCCTCTCAAACAAACTTGCTCTCCTCTTTTTCATTTGGAAAATATATCCATCTCATCATTTTTACTTATGCATTGCTCCTGAAAGATCAAAGGGCCTTCATTGCTCCTGAAAGCTCAAAGGGCCTTCATTAATCCTGCTCGTAGGATGTATTGGTGGTACATTGCACCTATGGCAGCCCCAATTAGGGTTGCACAGAAGTCGGATTTCAATCCGATCCGGATCGGTTTTTATCCGATCCGATTTTTTCTCATAGAAAAAAACCGTTTTATAAAATAACCGGTTCGGTTTCTAACCGGTTTGGAGGGCCGGATATCCTAACCGGTGTAACCGATTTCGGTTTTTTAAAAAACCGGTTATAAAAAAACCGATTTTAATATTATTAAAATTACCGGTCTAGGTTTTTTTTAAAAACCAGATATTAACGGCTAGTTTTTTAAACCCAGACCGGTTTTTTCCCCCGGATAAAACCCGGTTTTTTAACCGGTTTTTTTCAAACTGGTTTTTTATCCGATAAAAAACCGGTTTAAAAAAATCCGATCCGGTTAAAAAAACCAGTTTTCCCAAATCCGGTTTCGGATATTTTTTTCCGCAAAATCGGATATTCAGATTTTGTGTGCACCCCTAGCCCCAATAAGGGTCCAACCCAGAACATCCACTGAATACACACACACACATGAAGGGAAATTGTATTGTAAATGACAGCAGCAGCACAGCTCCTAGCAGGGTTGATCCCAGTGGCAGCGATTGGAATTGTGGCCAGGTGAACCATGAACACAGCAAATCCAATGGGAAATGGTGCCAACACCTTTCATTTTTATAAAACGACAATTTGGTGAGCTTCATGGATGTCTATCAATGATGTCGGTGGTGGATCCTGCCATCCTGGTAATCTTTGCCTGAAAACTAAACCCCAATCCTTCTATAAAGAACTAAACCCCAATCCATCTATAAAGAAAGTTACATTGCATTCTACTTATTGCATATAACTAAAAAAACCCAATCTTTCTATAAAGAACTCCCTAGTCCATCTATAAAGAAAGTTACACTGAATATAACTAAAAAACCTCAATCCATCTAAAAAGAACTCCCCAATCCATCTAAAAAGAACTAACCCCAATCCTATAACAAAGTTACATTGCATCCTACTTATTGCACACAACTAAAAAACTCCAATCTTTCTATAAAGAACTACCTAGAATCCCATCTAAAAAGAACTAACCCCAATCCTATAACAAAATTACATTGCATCCTACTTATTGCATATAACTAAAAAAAACCAATCTTTCTATAAAGAACTACCCCCAATCCATCTATAAAGAACTAAACCCCAATCCTATAAACAACGTTACATTGCATCCTACTTATAGCACTAATAAGAGCTGAAAATATATCAAGTAGTAATTGTTTCCAAGAATAAGAACAGAAATGAATGAGTTTTTCTCAACCTTCAACAAATAACTAAACCCCAATCCTATAAACAACCAATTGGCATGCAACTGTTGTGTGATTTAGTGAGAAACAGCAGTAGATAGAATTAAACTGGAAGAGTTGTAAAAGCCTCTAGTTTATGTCTATTAGTTCAAAGAAAATAGTAATAATGAAGTGGCTGTGAATGTTTTCACATATTATAAATACATGGTTTTCTTGCAAATAAAGTTTTTGTCCTAGCCATGCTTCTTGTATGATAAAAATTAGCCAACATAACCAAACAAATTTAGCATTCTTCATAAAAACCGACCCCAAGTAAACTGAACAACCAAATCTTGTCTCAGTGCCTAAATGCAACCATTCAAAGATATCTCAATATTGAAGCATAATATAAGAAAATTTGCACATTGATAACCAGCAAACGGATGTGATCGACTTCCTAAAACAAGCTC